AGTAGCTGGGATTACAGGCATGCGCCACCGTGCCCAGTTAATTTTTTGTATTTTTAGTAGAGACGGGGTTTCACCATGTTGACCAGGATGGTCTCGATCTCTTGACCTCATGATCAACTGCCTGGGCGTCCCGAAGTGCTGGGATTACAGGCGTGAGCCACCGCGCCCGGCTGAGCCTGTTTGATTAAGATCCAAAGGGAATGTGTTTGGCTTTGCTGTCTGTTATCCCATCAGGAGAGCTGCTCTCTCTGCTGTGAGGGTCTATGGTATGCTCGGTTGCTATTGGAACCTGGGTCCAAACGCATTTGCTTCTTGCTTTCTCTGCTCCCAAACCTAGTCCTTTCTCCCCAAAGACAAATTTAATAAGCAACACAAAAAGAGTCCATAAAACTGATAAACATGGCAAAAGTCCGAGGAGAATCCCACTGCTAGGGGTGAGCTGTGGGCAGATTGCTCCTGCCTCACCAGCTGGGGACCTGAGCTGTGAAATACAGCACACACTCTGTCTGAGCCTCCTGCAGAGGGAGGATTGCACTGTGCCCTCCCCACTGGCCAAGCATTTAATGGCTTTTCCCGGCCACAAGTGTCCTCCTCACAGACTTTTGCTCAGGCATCATTCTTCCTGGCGCCATGGCAAAGTGCAAGGTCCACAGATGCTCATTCTAAAGAGAAAGTCTCTCACTTGCGCATCTGTGGGGTCCTCGCCACTTCTGAGAGGAAGGCCACCATTGTGCATTGAGTCTTTGGTTTGGTTTAACATCTGGTCACATGTAGACCTGTGGGTAGTTATGACTATCTCCATTTTATGCAGGAGGAGTTAAGGTAAAGGAAGGGTGTGCAACTTACCCAGGGGTATTAGCCAGTAAGTGACTGAGCTGGGTTTTATTGTTATTTTTTTGATCATTTATTCAGCAAGTCTTTATTGGGCAGTCACTCTGCACCAGGCCAGGGAACTTCAGCATTCTGCATAGTCTCTTTGGAGAAGCAGCCATCAGAGGCTCCATCATTACCTGCCTCCATGTGTTGAGATAACAGCAGCAGCCGGGAACCTCCAGCCTGAGACCTTCAATGTTCAAGCCATCTGGACCCAGAACTGGCCCTCCTCACCCAGACTGCAGCCCCCAACCTCACTGAGTTACCGAAGCCGCCTTCCTTTGTCATGGCTCCAAGCCTCCAGATTCCCCGGAAGCAACTTCTGGAGGAGGGTTGGGAGGGGAAAAGCTGGCGTTCTCAGTGGTCTTTGCAGCATCCGAATCTAGGACTCTGAAGAAATACCATGCACCCATAGGGTTTCTCTGTGAGCTGGCCTTCTGCAGACCCAGTGGAGACCTGGCGCTGGCACATCTCACAGTTGGTACCATGGCATCTTGGTATCTAGATCAGGCATCAGTTGGATAATAGCTAAGCCAATTAAAGTCTGTCATCACCTGTGGAACCTTGATTGGCGATTCTGCCGCAGATTGTTCCTGAAGTCACGTATGTATGTACGTGTGTATGCATACGGTGGCATGGAGTAGTTTGTGTGTGCACGTGTGTGTATGCCTGTGTGTGCTTGGTCCTTTTGTATGTGTGTTGTGTGTGCCTTCTGTGCCTACTGTGCCTTAGGCGTTCCCTAACGCGGCACCTGAGCTCTACCACCCATGGACTCTCAAGCCATTCGGAAATAATAATCGTAATAAGAGGTAACCAATTAATAATTGACCACTAATAATAATAGGTAACCGACTAACTGACCACTTAGTCTTTTAAATACTACTCTAAGCAACTTCATAAGTGTTAACCCTTAATTCTCAGGACAATCCTATGAGGCTTGAACTATTGTTATTACCTTCTCTTTAAAAATGAGGAACCTGAGGATGACGTTCTCCAGATTCATCCATGTCCCTACAAATGACACGAACTCATCATTTCTGATTGCTGCATAATATTCCATGGTGACACAAGAACAGAAAATGAAACACCGCATATTCTCACTCATAGGCGGGTGCTGAAAAATGAGAACACATGGACACAGAGAGGGGAGTACTAAACACTGGGGTCTGTTGGAGGGAAAAGGGGAGGGCCAGTGGGAGGGGGAGGTGGGGAGGGATAGCCTGGGGAGAAATGCCAAATGTGGGTGAAGGGGAGAAAGCAAACAAAACACACTGCCATGTGTGTACCTATGCAACTGTATTGCATGTTCTGCACATGTACCCCAAAACCTAAAATGCAATAAAAAAAAAAAGTCACACACAAAAAAAATGAGGAACCTGAGGCCAGCAGAACCCAAGCTTGGGGCCTGCCATGGAGCGGTATTGGAATTCAAGCCATCTGGACCCAGAACTGGCCCTCCTCACCCAGACTGCAGCCCCCAACCTCACTGAGTTACCGAAGCCGCCTTCCTTTGTCATGGCTCCAAGCTGTGAGTTGAGGGTTTGAGCTCAGGGATATTTTCCGGTCAAGAAAAGATGCCGGAGTCACCGTGGAAGGCAGTGCATGACAATGGGTCCAGCCAGAGCCTCCGGGTCACTTCTGCCTGCTTCTCTGCTTTCACCAGTGGGAGGAGTTAGCATTGGCTGCAGTGGTGGAGCTGGAACATCTACGGGAGGGAGGAAACTACAGAGGTGAGATGAGAGCTGATCAAGAAGGCATCATGGAGGAACTAAGGGCTACGTGAAGCCCTGGGCACCCAGCGGTGCACACCATGTCAGGTGGTGGGCAGGCTGGGAGGCAGCGCCGAGTTCTCTGCAGAGCCAGGGCCTCTGAAGTCACCTCTTCCCTCATGGTCACGCCTTCCTTCTTCTTGTAATAGTTGCTTCTGGAAGCTTCCTTTGGTCAGTTTGTAAGGAAAACCAAGTCCCAAGAGAGGGCCTAGGCTGCTGAGGGAGTTGAAAAGGGGAACTGCATAAAAGTTTCTGTACTTTTGTTTTAGAGAAAACCATACGGAGACTGAAAGAATTACTGGCATTTTAATTTCAATAAACCGGAACACTTTTTCTGTGAGCTCTGCTCAGTTCCCCTCACACTAGTAAAATGTGAATTGCCAAAAAGCACACACACACAGCCCCTAGCTCCAGCTAATTATGCAAAAGGGCTTTTCACTCAGAATGGACAGTGACCCCTTCTGTTCCTCTCTGAGCCAGGTGGATGGGGCTTCTCTTCAGGCGTCTCCACCAGACAGTCCTGTACAGGTTACAGCCTGGGCAACTGTCCACAGCAGCCCCTTCTGATGCTTGCTCTCTCAGGCAGTCTGCAAGTGGGAAGCACACATCCTGTCCATGTGGATTTATTCATGTTTCCCATATCAGTAAGGAGATGGAGCTATAACACATTAAATATTTACAATCATCAGAGAAAAGACAGTACACAGCCCTGAACCGAGATAAGAATGCAGTTTCAAAATGTTCACAGTGAACACATCTTGCTCCTTCTGGTTCTTCTCTTTGGCCTGGCATTTTACCTCTCTGATCTCTTTATTGTATTTTCTTTCCAGGTTCCCTGGAGTTTTGAAAACGTCTGACAGAGCCTCCTAAGTCTGAAGAGGATTACTGTAGAAGTGAGAGACATTTGGGGAGTCTGGTTCCTGTGTCTCCAAGCAAGAGAGCCCTTTTTGGGAGCCTCCTTTACGCTGATGTGTGTATCTCCAGCTTATACCTGGATCAAGTTTGTGGCTGGTTCTATCTACAGCTCTACCAAAGGCAGCACCAGTGAGAGGAAAGTGGCAGGTAGGCTCCTGAGCTTGTCCTAACCCAAATAATGAATTTATGCTGGTATCCTGAATATCTCAAGGCCTTTTAGACAGCCAGAGTTAACATGGAGCCAGGAATGGATTGGTTTATGTTTCCTTTAATTAATTCGACTTTAAAGTGTTTCACATTATTACATTCAGAAGTAGCTCCTTCGTGGTGTTTGATTTCAACCTCAATTCTTTGAAAGATCCAGCTCCTTCCTTCTAGGTCTTCAAACAGCCATTGACCAAAAACCACAGAGATTCAATCTGAATTTGTTGCATTAGCAGCACCAGGGAGAGAAAAGTGTTAGAAAGACAAAGACAGGAAAGGTATTAATAATTTGGCACCTTGTTTAGTTATAAAGAATGCAAAAGAAGCATCAACTGTGAAATATGTGGCTATTCGGAGAGATCACAGACCTCCAGCCTTTGGGGTGAGGTGCCAGAGAATTATCAGAATCACAGCGTTTTACTTAATGGGTGCCACATTTGACCTTGACGCGTTGAGGCTGGCACTCCTTTGTGTCCTGGGGATCTCCTGATGTCCTTGCTCCCTGGCGGTATCTGCCCCGGGGCCTCTGGAGGCCTCGCCACAGAGTATGAGTTTGCGCACGTTGCTGGTGTATATTTATATCGAGGTGGCTGCGTTGCCAAGGAGCTCTGAGAGAAAGCAGAGCGGAGATAACTTCTAATCCACCTTTCTGTGATAATGTGGCGCAAAGTGAAGAGACCCAGGGCTCCATCCTCTGGTCTGGCATCGCCCTGGGAGGGGCTGGCCCTCGGGGTGTTTTTAGCAGCCCCAGTGCACTGGTGTGAGCTTCTGCACTACAAGCTGTGTGCATTGCTGAGCTCTGTGCCACAAATAGGGAAGACTGGAATGGAAGAGGAGAATGAAAGAAACTGCAATTTGTAGGTAACGAGAAGTGTATTTGAGCATTTGTTCACAAAATTTGGACAGCTGGAGAATGAGAATCTGGGAGCATTGGAACTGGCAAGGAGCCAAGAGGGAATTGGGAGTAGAAAGAGACAGTCCCTTGCCCAAGATCACAGGGGGAGCTGGCAATAGGGGGGCTGTGGAGGCCAGCTGTATTAATCTGTCTTCCTGCTGCTGATAAAGACGTACTGAGACTGGGTAATTTATAAAGGACAGAGGTTTAATGGACTCACAGTTCCATGTGGTTGGGGAGGCCTCACAGTCATGGCTGAAGGTGAAAGGCACTTCTTACATGGCAGCAGACAAAGAGAGAATGCAAACCAGGTGAAAGGGTTTCCCCTTGTAAAACCATTAGATACAGATGGGAGAAACTGCCCCCTATGATTCAGTTATCTCCCACTGGATCTCTCCTACAACATGTGGGAATCGTGGGAGCTGCAATTTAAGATGAGATTTGGGTAGAGACACAGCCAAACCATATCACTAGCCTGGGGCTCTTTGCACCACATTCTGCATATTTAGCAGGCTCCTAAACAAGAGTGAGTTTCTTTCTCTGACACTTTGAAGCTGACACATAAGGAGCCACTCCCTGAGGATTGTTTCCTGATGGACCATGAATTCTACCATTTTAGGATGGATAGACAGGTCTGGAGCTCTGCATAGGAGTGAAGTCAGAGGAGACGGAAGAGGGGTTCAGTCTATCTTGTGCACACAGGCTGTGTACTAAGATGAAATTGGTACATGCATACCGCTGCAGCATATCTGCTGTCAGACAGACTTGGCCTTGCATCCTAGGCTCACCCATGCCTGCACTTGGGTGACTCACTTAAGTTTGCAGTACCTCTGACACCTCATCTTTAAATGCAAATGAGGACACTGTTATGATTTGAATGTTGTATGCCTCTGAAATTCATATAACCGATCTGATGGTATTAGGAGAGGGGGCCTTTGGGAGGTGATTAGGTCATGAGGGTGGAGCCCTCATAAATGGGATTAGTGACTTTATAAAGTGAGGCCAGAGACCTGCCTTGTCTCTTCTGCCATGTGAAGGCACAGCAAGAAGATGCCTTCTTTGAACCAGAAGTGGGTCTTCACCAGACACCCATTGTGCTAGTGCCTTGATCTTGAACTTCCCAGCCTCCAGAACCGTGAGAAATAAATGTCCATGGTTTGTAAGCTGCCGGTTTCTGGTATTTTGTTATAGTGTAGTTGTATGCTACAGCAAAGCTAAGACAGTCACCTTCTTCACAGACTTGTAAACTCGTATAAGAAAATAGACATCAAAATCCCTTGTGATAAAAAAAATGTGCTTTATAGCTGATTCCTGAGGAATTGGTCTTCCACTAATAAGCATCATGCAGTGATCACTGCTCTTTTTGGATCCTTGCCATTCTTATCTTTTCCACTTCTCCAGATCATTTCCCCAGCTCAGAAGTTGCCTAAGGTGTGAGCAAGGGTTTATTAAAGTAGATTCAACTGGTGAGTCTGGATGATTCTGTGTGTTTTTCCAGCATGGATGCTGCCTCATGCATTCATACAAAGTGCCCTGAGGCGGCACCTTCCAGGGACGGGCTTTCCTTATTGGGACCCAAACAGGTCCCCTTTGAGGTGGAGGGGAGAAGAGCCAAGGAGGCCCCAGGTCTTTGGCTTGAATTTCTGGTGTCTCCATCTCTTCATGGCACACAAATCTCCTGGAACAGTATATCTTTTCACAAGGAATTTTAATCAACATCGGTGGAATAAGAAAAAAGATACAGGAATTATTCGCAACATAAAGTAGCCACACGAGCAAATCAGCCCTGACTGGCGCTGTCTCTTTCCGCAGCCTTGGGCCTGTGAGGGCCTGTGGGGATTGGATTGATAACGCCGTTCAGTCCAGGTCCAACAGTTCGACAGGATCCTTCATAGGCCCTGAAGGGGTTCTGTGAGTTTTGTATGGGGAATATGCTCTGAGAGTTACAGCCATGGCATGCCCCTGTGCTTTGTCTGGCTGATGGCCAACGTCAGACTGTGGTACCAGCAGAATAACCCTCTTGATCTATAGATATTAGCAGCATCTTCCTGTGAGCAGGTAGACTAAGGAGTCTATCACTAGGCCTTCCTGAATGACCAAGGGCCCTGATGAGCTGACCTGGAGACTGTTGGACACTGGGTGTCTAAACCTGGCCATCGAGAGTGAAAGGAGAGAAACTGTTGTTCTCTGAAGATAAACAACAAGACCCTGACTGAGCTTTCCCCTTTAGGGAGAATGCCTAACCACTTCTAAAAGCTCCCACACTCAAGTTTTTCCTCCTCCATGGACCCAATTCAGCCAGTAAATATTTAATGAGTGACTATTAGGTTTAAACTTAAGTTGACCTGCTCCAAGGGCTTGCTTTGGGTGGATTCCCATATTAAAGGGGAGTACTGGAAGGGCAGGGTGGACTCCCGTATTAAAGGGGAGTACTGGAAGGGAAGGGTGGACTCCCGTATTAAGGGGGAGTACTGGAAGGGCAGGGTGGACTCCCATATTAAGGGGGAGTACTGGAAGGGCAGGGTGGACTCCCGTATTAAAGGGGAGTACTGGAAGGGCAGGGTGGACTCCCATATTAAAGGGGAGTACTGGAAGGGCAGGGTGGACTCCCGTATTAAGGGGGAGTACTGGAAGGGCAGGGTGGACTCCCGTATTAAGGGGGAGTACTGGAAGGGCAGGGTGGACTCCCGTATTAAAGGGGAGTACTGGAAGGGCAGGGTGGATTCCTGTATTAAGGGGGAGTACTGGAAGGGCAGCAGTGTCATGATCCCTGGTTAAGGATCCAGTAAAAACAGGGCCCCAGGCAGTGAGCGGGCAGGGGTGGTGGGGGGCGGCTAACAGGCAAAGTATGTGAGTCCCAACTCCTGCTATCTAGGGAGGAACTTGGATATCCAGGCAACTGGAGATGTCAGGGCCACAGCCTGGCTCTAGTGCGGGATTTTCACACCAATGGAAGACGTGAATGTGGGGCCAAAAGATGGGCAGGAGTTCTGATGTCTGGACCATCTCAGAGGAGCTCTAAGAAGGTGCAGTGGACAAATCAGTGCTTAGAGGGCAAGATTCCGGCCTGGGGTCCAGGACCATTGTAGTCTCGTTCACTATCGATGGCCAGGTTTAGACACCCACTGTCCAACAGTCTCCAGGTCAGCTCATCAGGGCCCTTGGTCATTCAGCAAGGCCTAGTGATAGACTCCCTAGTCTACCTGCTCACAGGAAGATGCTGCTGATATCCATAGATCAGGAGGGTTAGTCAGCTGTACCTCTGCCAAGGTAGAGCTAGGCTTATCAGTAGAAGCACTGAGGCCTTCAGCCACAATGGGAATGTCTGGGTCTCTTCTCTTGGCCTTCCTAGATGCCACCCTAGTCCAAGGTACAGCTTGAAGCCACCTCCTAAAAATGAAGTTTTCTTGGTGTCTCCCAATTCAAGAGACCTCTTCCCCTCTTGATTCCCTAAAGAGATGTCCTTCTATCTCACCCACATTGACCTAGAAGAATATTCTACTCAATTTGCTCTATTTCTGCATCTGAGCTGAAGCTACTCAGAGAGGGGTCAGTATTTCCTCCAGTTATGGTGCCAAACACAGGCAGGTGCTAACTAGAACACACATGAAAAATGCTCTGCACATCACACCTCACCCCAAAGTTACTCCACATCAAGTGAAATACTTTCCAGCTCCTTACCACCACCTGCAGCATGCTGCGTGCATCAGAGGTCCCGGCTGGTCCAGACTCCAGCTCATGGGAGACCCTGCTGGGAGACCCACAGGCTTGCTTGGCCAAGAAATGTGCTGGACTGAGTTGCTCCAGGCTAAAGAACAGTGGGAATCTTGCTGTTATATTAGAAAAATTCTTGCCAGTTGGCCCATTTTAAGAAATGTAGTTTGTTTAATGACTTTTCAAAAGCCAGTTAAAAGAGACGGAAAAGAATTCAAAAGCATTAAAAAAAAGGACAGAGATTCTACTGGGGATATTACTTATGATTAGCACTTGCCTTTCTTGCAGATTCGTTCTTGACTTTGCATCCTGTTCTCAGAGTGATACTCTGCTAACCAGGCATTGTAACCTGCTAGGCGACTCACTCAGAGCTCCGTGGCTCTGTCTGGAAAATCTCTCCTCTGGCCTATCCGTGCCTCCCATCCCCCTCTCCCAGCTCAGAACCTTCCTTGACGCTGACAGCTCTTCCCTGGGCCATCATTCATCCTGCCCATGGCAAACTTTGGAGAAAATAAAAAACCCTGCTCCCTTAATCTCATTAGAAGGGCTGCAAATTGAATTTAGCCCCTCTCAGTGTCCCCTCAGCTGGCTGTCATTAGGAGCAGAGGCTGGGCCTTGGCTGAGACCCAAAGACCAGCTAACTGAATTTGAGATGCTGTGGTCTTGACAGGCCAAGAGAGGTAATTGAAGAGCCGTGGGGCTCCTGGTAACATTTCAGGCTGGGATTACACTGGGGATCCAAAACTCCCATCTGCACCGGTGTCAGGGGCACTAAAAAGTCACCCATTGGGCTTCCAGGGTCGGATTATTGATAAAGAGATCATTCCCAGTGGAAGGTGGGGGGTGGTGGTAGGGGAGACTGCATTTGGTTACGATGCAAAATGGGTATCAGAGGTGGAGGGAAAGGGACGACGTGGCCGGTGAGAGTCAGCAAATCATTCAGAGTTAGAAACAATTTGCTGGAAGTGTTGTCTAACGAAAAGAGAAAGCAGTTTGGGGAGAGTAGGTGATGAACCCGCAATATACAAGGAAAAGAAATACTGGTTTTAATTTTATTTTTTATTTTTTATTTTTGAGACGGAGTCTCGCTGTTTTGCCCAGGCTGGAGTGCAGTGGCACGATCTCGGCTCACTGCCACCTCCCTCTCCTGGGTTCAAGCAGTTCTCCTGCCTCAGCCTCCTAAGTAGCTGGGATTATAAGGCATATGCCACCATGCCCGGCTAATTGTTGGAAATACTGGGTTTTAATCTGTGGACATTATTGATCTGTTTGTATAACTCTTAATTTTTAAATTCTTGAATCATCTTAGCTTAATTTTTCATGTCTACAGTAAACCCCAAGCAGAGAGGGGCTTTTTGTGATCAAAAAATTATATTTTTATTTTTGAAAAATGTACTAAACACTGCATATAACATATGCAAATAACAAAGTATTTATATCCATATAACAAAGTATTTAACAGAGGCTCATGTGGAAGACATATCTCTACTGATTTGGATTTCTGGGGTTTCTTTAGTTCCCAGATCTATTGTATCTCAGTGTGGCGGAAAATTCAATGAAATCCTGTTTTAAAGAGGAGGAAGTGAGCAATAATCAACCACCTAGTATGTGTGAGGCACAGTCCTAAGCCTGCTATGCACATGGTCTAACTCACCCTTCATGGCACGGAACAAGACAGGCTTTACTTGTATTAGGCGTCCCCACCTTACGATTCTCACAAAGGTTAGTCAGTGTCTTGCCTGGCGTCATAAGGACAGGAAGGGTCGAGGCTGGGATTGGAACCTAGGTCTGCCTGGTTCTATTACTCCCCAGGCCTTCTCGGCTTTGGAGAGTGGTAGGTTTCCTATGCAATGTTTTTTCCCTCCAAAAGCCAGAATGATGGCGTCTGTCACTCAGATGTAGCGTAGTTGGGAACACGGGCTCAATTTTGCCGCCTAGTAGCTGTGTGATGTTGCACATTTCCAGACCTCTCTGTGCCCTCCTGGAAAATGGGGGTCGTAGCGGGACTTGCCCCATCAGTTTGCTGTGAGGTTAAAGAAGTTCATGCACGTCCATAGTGGCCTGCACAGTGCCCGGCTCGCCTGAAGCACTCACTGTGTAATGCTGGAGTACACCCACTGTTGCAGTGGCACAGCCAGGAATGTCCACTCACTTGCATATCTGATGGTCCAAATTTGAGAGGTCGTCATCCAAATACTAGGCCACAACATCACCGGACTCTGGTTTTCCTTGCCTGACGTTGCCAGATGTATGGTCGGAATCCCTCACATTTGGCCGGGTGCTGTGGCTCATGCCTGTAATACCAGCACGTTGGGAGGCCGAGGCGGGCAGATCATGGGGTCAGGAATTTGAGACCAGCCTGACCAACATGGTAAAATCCCTTCTCTACTAAAAATACAAAAAATTAGCCAGGCATGGTGGCGCGTGCCTGTAATCCCAGCTACTTGGGAGGCTGAGGCGGGAGAATCGCTTGAACCTGGGAGGAGGAGGTTGCAGTGAGCTGAGATCTCATCACTGCACTCCAGCCTGGGTAACAGAGCAAGACACTGTCTCAAAACAAAACAAAACAAAAAAACAACAACAAAAAACCCCCCAAAAACCACCTCACATTTACATTCACAAAACTTACTCATAGATGAATTTCTGCTGAAGAGTAAAAGATGAACTTAAGGTTCTCCCTATGTTGGTTCTATTCATGGATTTTTTTCTCCAGCTTACATTCTCTGATGCAAGGAGAGGGAGGGGTGAGTGGCTGCAGCTCCCCGTCCCCCCCGACCCCGCCGCAAAGGCCTTTGATGACCAAGTCCTCACTATATGCTAGACGTTTTACAAAGTTTACCTCATTGAACGCCCACTTTTATGTGTGTTCTTGTGGGGAGGAATTGTTCTCATGTTTTTAGATGAGAAAAGTATATTTGTTTTATATTTTCCATATTCTATTATGCCAACGGCATTCACTACAAC